CACAGAACTAAGCTTTTAATGTTTAATTAAATTTTTTGTTTGCCTCCATCTATGATACCAACGTTCTGAGAGGTCTGTTTATGATCTGTTTACCAGTGTCTTGAAGAGCATGCATAATAGAATAACAATTACATCGATCAAACATTCACCTTTCTTTTGTTCAAATGAGCTTTTTATTTTCTCTGATATCTCATGTCAGAACTTTCTCGTGTTTGCCCACTGTTCACTTGATTTTTCCGACCGAGATATTTCTTTATTATCTATTTCTCAAATTTCACCAACAATGTGATGTTTGATGACAAAATCAAATATTATTTTTGTTCTTTTTTGAAAATCTCTTGTTTAGACCGGTTCTGCGTTTAGCTGAACCAATGTCTGTAGCGAATATTGAAACATTTTTAAGAGTTGTTTTAACATTAATATTTTGTTATGCCACTCCAAGTAATTTTCTAGTTATACAAACAATATTATCTAATAAAGAATTGAAGACATACAATACACTCTTGTACTTTGCTGGTATTGCATTCGCTGATACTCTAGCATTTTTCGGTTATATACAGAATGCTATTTGGCACCCATTATTTGGTACTGATATAGAACAAAAATATTTGGTGACATGTCGTTTGATTGCCTTCTACAGTAGATATGGTGTACAAACATCCGCATTGTTACTAACAATAGCTACCATTGATCGATGTTTACTATTATATTCCAAACGTTGGAAATTAAATTACAGTCGACGACCATCATTAACATTTTCAATTATATTAATCGTCTTTAGCATTGAATTACTTTTTCATTTTCATGTATTAATTTATAAAGGTGGTTACAATACCACAACATACAACGGTAGTAAAACTGAACAACGAAACTTTGCTTGTTATTTAATAAAAAATCTACATTATCAATCATTTTATTACTCTTTTTATTCTAAAGCTCATCTAATACTTTATTCTGTATTACCTTATGTGATTACAAGTATATGTAACATATTCGTATTACTTAAAGTGTTTCATAAACGAAAGCAGCATATAAAAACTCGAACAAGAAGTACACAGAAAAATGTTACAGTATTAATTGTTTTATCGTCAACATGTTACGTCTTATTAACATTGCCCGATGCTGTTTATTGGGAATTTTTTGGTAAAAGTGTATCAAATCATCTTAAAAGAGTGATTCCTTATTGTATTAATATCAGTTTGTATATAAATCATTCATCAACATTTCTATTATTAATGATTATTTCAACAAAATTTCGACAACAGTTATGTGTTAATATGTCAGGTTTCTATCGAAAATGTTTTAATAATCGGATTATGCCACAAGTACAAATATCCTCAAAAGTAAACGCTTCTATTATAATATCAAAAGTAGCTGCATCTAGTAAAGTTCCAATGAGTAGAACGATAAATGCAAGTTAGGAAGAATCTGCATAGTAGAATGAATTTATACAAACTGCACGGAACTGAAAGAACAACATACCACTTTGCTGTTGGTTAACTTTTACTACTAAGGTATTGGTATACTCTGTTATATCTATCAAGTGTACTGTTATTACCCATAATGCGAAAAGATAAATCAAAGCCGTATGTACTTATACGAGAGTGAACATAAAATAATGCGCGCATAATTCAAAGTTCATAAGCTATTTTATATTGGATCGAATTACACATTTATTCAAAAGAGAAGGATGAGCTGAACGAGAATAACTTTGTTTCGGCCTTCTCACACCAAGTTTTCCATTCAAAAAATTGTAAACACTTTGAGAACGTGAAAAACCGGACAACCGTTCCTCCCCGAAAAATGCCTACATTTTTTCTACATTTCGGTTTGAAGCTCCGAAATATTCTTTTTCTGATTTGACATCAAAAATAGAATTTAAAATTGTATTTTACGAGCTCGCCGTCAAGAACTTGGTCTAACAAAAGACTCATGCTATAGAAGGTTCGAAAACCGGGACCTTATTTCAAAAAGTCGTCTAGTTTTAGTGTGAGGAGATGGAATCCTGTGACATGTGCCACTCGAACCATCTTAATTCATATAACAAACGTATAAATCTGGATTTTGAAATTCCTCTCCATTGCTGAGAAAGGAGGAGGACGGATGAGGGTAGTTTCTGTCCCCCAGTATTTTTGAGATTTCTCTATTGGAATCATGTCAGGGCATACCTAGGAACATTTCGTGACACTTAGTTTCGCGAAATCTTTCCATCGGTGTTTTTGAGGCCTGTCTCCCTCAAGGATTTTGGAAATTTTTTTTGTTTTTGATCAAGTTGAATTCCGCATAGGAATATGTAATCAACCGTGCTGATCACCAATATGAAGGACGCACAGAAAGTTTCGGTTCAAG